ATTGAAATTTTAGTGTAAACGTTTAATCGATAGAACAAAAATGATTTTTGGCAACTCGTTTTGGCGGGCGGCGAGAAGCTAAACAAGACGAACAGAACATCAAAAAGCTAATAGTTTGGTTTCGTCACTGCAACCGTATATACCCGATTCTTAGTTCCTCTGAAGGATAATTGTCACTGTCGAGGTTGGTAACTTCATGTCCTTTCTGGTTTCTAAAACTGTTGTATAGTTAATCGGAAATTATTTAAAATGTGTATGAGAACGGGACACGGTTCCACGTATCGTGTTCATGACCATTTCACTGATCGCATTGATCTGATCCGCCTTAGCCATCCGTAACAATTCTTGTCGTTTATGTTGATTCGCTTCTTCTAAGACGCTTTTGAAGAACGGCGCTTGACATTCCAGGCGCAACTCCATGATGTGTCTTGAGTTCAGGCAGCGACCAAGGTCTATTTTATATTTATGGTAAAAATCGCCCCACACCTGCCACACAGTTCGCCATGATAATGCTTTAGCATGTGATCTCGACTACGTTGACACAGGACCGCTTCATACTTTTTGTCCCAGTCCAAGGCAAACGTTGTTGAGCACGTTGTTGAGCATCTTCATTCAACAAATGCAACCTTCGCCGTAATCCCCTCCGTCGATCATCGTCATCATCATCGCCATCGTTATCAGACGGTGGAGGAGAGGGGGGGGTGAAGGGGCAGTGGAACGTCGTCGTGGTTGCTTGGCAGCGATTCTGGGACGTGCGCTGGGCGTCGTCACCGTCGAGGTAGTGATGGACGTCCCTGCTCCTGCACGTCGACAGGTGGGTGCGGTGGTTCTACTCGCCGGAGCGGTGGTGGTGGTGGCGGTGATGACAGGACGTGTTCTAGTGGACGTGACGAGTCGCGGTCGGCTGGTGGTGGTCGTGATGACGGGGCGTGTTCGGGTGGAGGTGACGGGTCGTGTTTGGGTGGCAGTGGTGATGGGTTGTGTGGTGGTGGTGGTCGCCGGCGCGGTTCCCACGCCTGTCACAGAGAGTAGACTAAATAGATTCAACGCATCGTCCACATTGACCGGGTAAGAAATGTTAAAATCCTCAATCTCTTGATCCAATTGGGCTCGATCGACTGGTCCGGTCAGTTCTGTGACCAAGTCCGTCAAGCGGGTATTCAAAGGGGGTGGTGCCGAGAGTGAACCCACGCCTGCCGGAGACAGGGTCGGGCCGGGGTGTCTATGCGGGCCGATAAGTCAGTGTGTTGTCCTCCTTCTCTCTGCCGGCGATGACGTTCGCGTTGTCCTTGCAGCGCGTTTTCGAACGGCAGGGACATCCACGGGCAAGGTATGGACTTGCGCTTGACCTTCTCGGGGCGTTAAATGACTCCACAATCGGTAGCGATCATCCGAAGCAGGATGGACATCCAACATCAAATATCCAAAAGGGCGCGACGTGACGCGTTTAAATAGTCGCAAGACTTGACGCCAACGGTCGGGAAAGGCTTGAAGTAAGATGGTCTGTATGCGAGTTTGATCCCGTGGGTTTTTGAAGGCCACAATGTAGTGGGCATTGCGATTAATCGTCTTGGAGAATTTGCCAGGTGGAAATAAATCTTGGGTCAAATACAGCATGGTAATGTTGCGATGACTGGAATCTTTGGTGAACAAATCCAAAACGCGTTTGTCCTGTCCTCCTCCTTCCATCAGATCGTCCAAGACCAACACACCCCCAGGCGTGGGGCAAAACCATTTGGTCAAATGACTAGGGTCCGGTAAACCGCGACGAAATCGAATACCACCCTTTTTTTTGCATACGGTCGAACCTGGGTTGCCATCGGTCATACGCATACACGATGGTTTTGGGTTTGACTTGAAATACGTTCAGGTACCGTAACCATTGTTCCACCAACTCGCTCTTGCCGCTGCCCGAAGGTCGGGCAATGATCACACTACTGGGTTGTCGTATCATCGTTCCCACGGTCGAGGAAGACGTCTGTAAAGACCCTTGGTACCTTTGGCACCCATTCGTTTATACCGTTTATCGCGGCTCAATTTATAGGCGATTTTGGCCGCTTTGGCCAACACCGTCATGATCCGACGCCCGTTTTGACGAAATCGGGGTCGTTTGGCGGAGGGTCTTCTTCTTCTGCCGGGCATGCCGTCCAATACTCGTGGTACAATCGAGGGGACGCTGACTGAACGAGGTGTTCCGTAGATTCTCTTAAATACGTTTCGCCCATGGTGTCTATGCATGCTTTGAGGGACACCCATTCTCCGTCTTAAGCCAACGTACAATGATAACCATCCCAAGCATCGATCCCTCGGACGGTTTGGAACCGTTCGATCGGATGCAGCCACCAATACAGGGTTTCTTCTAAATTAAAAGCATCAATCACGCGCTGTACATCGCCGCGTGTAATCATGATGAACAATGACACCCCCTGCGACCCGACGCGTCTTTTTTATGCATCCGCCACACACACACCGTGATTTACAAGTGTTGGTTTATTTTTGTTACATCACGAACAATGATTACAGAGCATAAAGGCCTGGCGACTCACATTACTTTGCCCATCGGGTCGGGCATCCACTTCATCTTGTAATTCACGTTTAATCAGCCGTTTCAAATCTTCGGCCACTTTATGATCATTCAACACTAAATTGTCGATACTCCAAGTCCCAAAAAGTCCTGATAGGTCTGCCCTGCGCTCTGGCTTTCAGGAAAAATAACGCATAATGTCCACAGGTCTGACTATCCATGGCTTGTAGGGAGATGTCACGGCGGGTAGGGTACTTCCATTGACTCCACCACTGGTGCAGCTCCGGGTCTTTGTACACGTGCAAGTGTAGACCATAACTGCCAAAGATCTCGCACTTGTTTTGTTTTGTCCACAGCCCCAACCAATGTTGTCCGGGTTCCCCCGCTGTATCGGTGTTGACAATGTAAGCCGCTCGTACGGTTTTGGTGGGTGATCGGGGTAATTTGTCGGCTGGGTACACGCCTTGAAACACGCGCCGTAATTGAGGATCATCCAAGGCCAAGGCTCGCAACACGGTATCGCTGAGCGCCACAAACTCCTTGGCTGGCTTCTTCTGACTTCTGAGGATGGATCAGCCGTTGATGTTGTACTTTATACCTCCCAGATGATTGATCTCATACACGTTTTCATACTCGCTCCACACCAACACGGTGATGTTGTGATTAACAGAGGCTCTGAAATCAATCACCAGTCGCACATTGCCCGATTCACGGGGGTTGTGATACTGGGAGTCATTGGCTTTGCCGCTGGGCACATTGTTGAACAAAAACAACTTGCAGTTGTTCCCCTGTCCCCAATCACTGGGCAACAGCATGGGAATCTTGTTTTCATTGTAGTCACCCATGGCTGGTAGAAACCCATCGCACCCCAGCAGATCTTCATCTGCTTGATTCCCGGTCAGTTCTAGGGTTCTGTAAGGATATTCTTCTCAATTCGAACTCTGTCGTACTTGGGTGACCCCAAACTTTTGAAACACATAGGGGTTTCTGCCCATGTCTCCATTGAAGGCATTCGAGTGCAGCAAGCCCACCATCACTCGATCGGGAAACCGGCCCACAGACACATTGTCTTGTTCTCACTGGGTGGTTCGGCCATCAAAGGAAAACGTGCGGATTTCACTTCGAACCACAGGGTAGCGCACAATCTTTTTCAGCCTTTGTCTTTCTTTTTGCGGTCTAACATAGACACTGGCATTCAAGGTCACTTTTCTCATCAGCAAGGTGACTTTGATATCATCATTATGGATGGCAGGAAGTTTCTTGGCGTTCAAGGTCCCTTTGTTAGGGGTGCCTATCAAGTAGACAGAGTTGTTTGGTCATGAGGCCTCCATTCATGCTCATGTTAATATCTCGAAAGATGGTGTGGCCAAAATTGTTGACGCAGTAGGTGTTTCTGGTATTGTTTGCATCAGAGTCGGCCAAGTTGGCTTTCAATTCTTGATACCTACCCGCAGGATCAGTCAGACGTACTTTGACTTGAAAATGGAGTTCGTTGAGATCGTAATAATCGTCCGAGGCCGGGATGGAAAACGTGATGGGTCGCGTTCCTGTCAAGGCCGGTTGAAATGCCACGTCCCGTGAGGCTTCGTACAGGTAATCCACATCAGGCTCATCAAAGAAATTGAGCGACATGGTTTTTTGTCTGCCCCAAGTCCATAATAATAGTCAAGGTGTTCAACGGCGTTTCCTTTTTATAGCGTTTCGGCATCGGTCCATGGTCATCAACCATTTGGTATTTTCTCGAGAGGCAGACGGGTACATCCACGGATAACACATTAGCTCTGACCTGCCAAAAGTGGTTCCCCCTTTCATCCTTCGGGGTTGTTTCAAGTTCTTCATGATCATGGAGTGGGGGGTCCAATAATCAGGAGGACGTGTGCATCAAGGGATAGCGCGCCATGGTGGACTTGACAAAGATAGTCCCACCTATTTGATACGGCGAAATGAACCGGCCTTGGGCTCGGTGCCGTCGAATGCGATTTTGCGTTTTGAGAAATCCTCCAATGCGCACCATGCTTCACAGACCAAAAATATCCCGTACGCGTTGGGTGGCTCTTTTATAGGTGTTTTTAGCGGATCGTTTGGCTTGGTGTTTCCCGGCTGTCCAGGCCAGGGCGGGGGCTTTGCGTTTCAAACCACGTGTGAGTTGCTCACTTCGATTGGACCAGGTATCGGCCAAATTCTGTCCTCGTTGGATATCTTGAAGTCCCGCTTGGGCTTGCTGAACAATGAGGGGACCAGCTATTTTGATCAAATCTTCAGCCAAGCCTTTTCCCTCTTGGGTCGTGACCACAGGCGTGTGGTAACGTGTTAAACTCCCTCCTCGCATCTCTGCTCCGTTTGTGCTCTCGACCAGGGTGGTGTTGTCGTTTTTATAGCTGTTTGAGTCCAATGGTCACGATGGTTTTCCCAGGGGGTAAGATAGCCAGGGGTCCACCGGGTGTAGCAATCTCCACTTTCACAATAACCTCGGACCTTAATCCATAGGTGGTGCAGGGGGTCCACCGTACTTTGACCATCCCCTGTTCTTAATAACTGCACTTCGCGCAACAGGGGAAATGCCACTCCCTACCACGGTGGACTCCACCACATCCGAATAGACCATAACGGTGCGTTTACTCGTACCCAAAAATTTTTCAAAGGGGGCGTTGAGATTGTTAAACTGCCATTCCACCATTCTGAACAGATGAAGTTGGTCATTTTTCACTTGAAACACTTGATCCGTCACCCCCCTCGTCACGGCTGTTGGTTGTATTCCTGAAGAATGCTCTCCATTCCAGTTCATGTCCGTTCGATTCGATGGATCGGTGGGGGGTGTTTGGTTATCGTAGGTCACAGAGGGGAGGGTGAACTGCAGATTGGGTCCCAACTTGTACCCATTCACTCCTTGGGGTGGTTCGATCAACCCAAACTTTTCAGCCACAGCCAGATTGATGGAAAACGTTGTCAAGGCCTTGGTCTTGCTGAAGTTCAGCAACTCTTTTTCAGGTACAGCATGCAAAATCAGGGCATCCTCTTTACAGGTCATGGTGGGCCACCAGTTCTTTTTCACACTGACATGGGGTCGTTCATCCCGTTCATGCGTCCAGGCGTACTTTTGTTCGTACATGAGTTGCTGCATGCTTTTGTTGTGCACTTCTTGCATCACTCGTTTCCAAAACAGGTTGCCAGACGTGACAGGTTGTTTCGAACTCATGATCTCTTCCAATTTCACACGGTACTCCTTGGTCTTGAAAGTGACCCGTCGATACTCCCCTGTGATATATTTTCGAGTCAAGAACGTCATGTTGAAATAAATGACAATTGTATGAGGATCCGTCACGATCACGCCACGCCACGCCGCTCTGTCGCTGATCCGATACGGTCAGTGACATCAACGTGGCATACCATTGATCGCCCGGTAAAGAGAGACGTTCAGGCAGACGTACCTTGAAACTGCTGTTGGCATTTTTGGGAAACTCGTTGGTCGCATCGCTGATGAGCGTTAAGCGTTGGATGTTCCTCATGATGAAGAGAAGGATGCTCGTCTGAGGGCGCGTGGTCCTTTTTTTATAGTCACTGGGCCACTTTCTGTTTGCTTCGAGGGACCGTCCCACCAATGAATTGAAGGTTGATTGTTTGGGATAGAAACACAGTTGCTGCGTAATGTTGGGAAAGGGCCGCGCCAATTCCATCAGGGTCAGGCAGGTTTTTTGTTGGCCGGGTTTTTTCTTTCGCATGGCCTGATGACGACTGGCGCGTCGGCGTTGTTTCTTTTTGGAAGCCGTGTAAGAACGGAGGGCTTCTTGACCACAGGCGACCCCAGCCATCCTGTTGACTTGGGCTCGTCTTTGTTTCGCGGCTTTCTTGTTGATGAACGTCATGATACCCGTTTCATTCTGCTGGAGGGGAGTGTAACTTGCACGCAATCGGCTGGCTTCGGCCTGTATTTGGTCCAACCACCGTACCCTTTTTTTACGGGGCGTTTTTTGTTTTCTTCGCACCATGCCTGGGTTGGGCTGGAATCCAACTATCGTACTTGGCCTGCCACCCTTTCCACCTCACTAACACGTTGCGTCCTTTTCGTTTCAAGACTTTTTCGACTCGAAATAACGAGTCGTCCGATACTTGCACTTTTTGCACATCGGGTTCGTCAAACGTGCCTTTTATAGGCGCGTCGTCCCATTCACTGAGTCGATAGGTGACCAGGGGATGACGACGCACGTGCGTGACCACAAACACTTCTTTCGTCCATCCCGGTAAATAGCCTTTTTTGAAGGGACGATGTTTCTTGTTGAGGCGTACGCGATCTCCCACTTGACATTTGGGGGGTGTCGTCTTTTGGTCCAAGCGCTGGCCATAGAGTTTGTCCCAGACCTCGGGCAGTGTTTTTTCCGTGACTTGATGCGGGGCCATCCCAATACTTCGATGATACGATTGATTGTACGTATGGATCAACGGTTGTAACACGTCCACGTACCGTAACGTATTGTGGGCTGTAAAGTAGCGGTACATCCGTTGTTTCAAGGTGCGATGCCATCGTTCCACCACGTAGGCCTTATTATCCCCATACGTCGAAAAATGATGCCAACCGTGTTTCTTGAACCACGCTTAGACCCCTGTATTGTAAAGTTCTCTGCCTTGATCCGTCTGCACTTGGAGTGGCCGCCGGGGCGAGGGTTGTTTGTTAATCCTTTCCAATCCTCGTATCATTTCTTTGCTGCTTTTGGATTTGATGGGGACCTCCCAGGCATACTTGGACAGGACATCGATCAAAGTCAACAAATATTTGTGGCCCTTATTCCATCGACTGAATTTTTGCGTGTCCACCAAATCCATTTGCCATTGTTCGTCTCGGTCAAATACCAGGGTGGCTGTGGTAGGGAAGCGAGTCCGTCGGGGTTTGTGTAACGTATAACTTGAGCACGGATTAGAGAATCTGTTGCACTCGCGGGGTTTTCAGTTTGTGGGCTTTGGCAAAGGGTTCTACCCCACCCAAGGCCCCGGGTTCATGAGGATCCTCGTAAGCGCGTGGCAACGACATGGAGACACTAACACAAGATCGTTTCAATTCTCTTTCTTTAATAGTTTTTTTCACACATGCATTGGTTTTTTCAAAACAAGGTCATGCTACCAAAGTTTTTATACAAATGGCGTCTCCTCTCACTTTCCCTTTCCTGGGCTTTCGTCACTTCCGCAAACTGATTCAACCATTGTTGATAGGGCATGAAAGGCGTCTTACACATGGATATCCAACCCGTGGTGCCACGGGTCCCATAGAGCATTGGCCGGGGCGTGGGTCCGTCGATTTGTTCCCTACCGGTGTCCAGACAGTGTTTTTTTCAGGAGGGGAACGGGCACATGCCCATAGGGTACATTCCCATGGGGTGTTTCTTTGACCCATCGTCTCAGAGACGGTTGCGCTTGCTCTCGGGGACGCCACAGCGGGCCATGGAGCCATTGAAAATAGCCACAGGGTTCTTGTCCTGGGAGAAAGCTCCCACAGCTCAAAAACACTTTGTTGTAATTCGTGGTGGTGCGACTCAATTTCATCTTGGGGGTAAACCCACATTTGCACTCCAGCAACCCTCATTGCAATTGGGCTCGCACTTGGGGATTGGTGTCTTCTTTCAGTTTTTCCAGCATGGTGTCACGGGTGTTCTCAAACAAATACACGGGACACCCTTCTTGGGGGCAGTTTTACCTCAACTTGCCAAATTCAGTCTAGGGTTGACACAATGGATGAATTGGTGGGGATGAAACGGGCACGCTTGGTACAAGAGGTCGTTCAGGTTCGCCTCCATCTGGTCGAGGTCCTGTTCTTCCCATTCCCCCACTTTGGTGGCCGGATCCGATTGAAACGTCCCTTCCTCCACACATTCTTTCTGGTAGTCTTTCAGGGTATGATCCGGCAACTCGCTCACGGTTTTGGGTGGTTCTTCAGCTCGGGGCAAAGCGTTGAGGGTGACTACTAGTTTCTAGTTCGTTGGTTTTTTGTTCCTCGTTTTTTTTCTTGGCGCAAACTCGACGTCGTTTGCGTCCCGTCGGCACAGCGGCTGGTTGTGTGGCTTGACGCTCCATGACTACTCACTCCGCTGAATGAGCCTCACCTCGATCCTTTCGTGTCTTATATAACCCATGACCTGTCCATCAACCCTCATCTCGTGATCATGGTGTGATATTTTTTCCACCAATCCTGCCCCTGGACATCATCTCGTGATTATGGTGTGATGTTTTTTTCCACCAATCCCGACCCACTCCATCCGTTATAAAACGGTTGGTTTCCTGTCTTTTCTTATCAGTTGGTTCCCTCTCCGTTCTACGGTAAGTGGCTTTCATCATGTCTTTACGCGAAGTAGGTCTTTTGGTTTACAGTCAGGGGTTCGCTATCTCCCGGGATGAGTAAATCGTTCGGGAGCTGGCTTTTTGTGATTGGACGGGGCATCATCACGTGTTGTTCAAATACACGTTACCCCTTGGACTGACGTACGACCTTTTATCCCAGGACGCTAAGACCTGATTGGATCGGAGACGGTGCATGGATTACCTTTTGAACCTTTTTTGTCGGATCATAACCGACATGAATTTCATCCCTACTATAAGTTAAGGGACAATGTCATCCGCTGGTGTCAACAATATCTCACCCCAGAACGATGGCGGTTGGGTGTCTTCACCGTCAATGGTCTCTATCGATTGTTCCAAGAGCCACGGTTTTCTTACCCTGTAACTCCCTGCATCCCTGGCCTTCTAAGACGACTATCCAGTCTTCCCATTGCCACCGTCAATGTGATGGCCACCAACGACCATGGCCGTAATTGGTGTCACGATCACAGCCACGGGGAACGCGTATCTGGCACAATTGTTGTGCTCAAGTACGGGCCTGTCAAATGAGTGGCTGGTTGCGTCGACATTCCAAAGTGTTACCGACCCTCTCCCAAGTCAACGCCCAACGCGTGCTTTGGCAAAAACGATGTGATCGTCTTTTGGACGACGTCTTATGCAAAAAATGCATCGATGACAAAGACGACGCGTTTGCCGAAGGAAAAGGCCTGGATTCGATCCCCGATAATTGCAGTGAATGCCGAACCGTCCGACGTATCTTTGAACAAACTGTCTCCTACCGGGAATGGCAGGAACCCCTGATGTATACCGATGAAGAACCGCACACCATGTGGGTTTGATATCCCTTGTCCAAAAACAGCCATCATTAATTCAGACTTTTTTCAATTTTACAGACAATGCCGCTGACCATTTACACGGGAGGTGCAAAAGGCGTGGATACGCATGTCGAACATTTATGTCACAAGTATGGTCATCCGTGTGTGGTATTCATCCCACCATGTCACCCTTGAGCCAAGTCCCTCGCGCCCTTGACCCAGCCTGACTTGGACGCCGCCATGCCCAACGTCACTCGGGCCGCATTTCAATTAGGTCGACATGTCTCCCATCCAATCACCCTCCAGTATTTACGTAATTATCACGTGATCAAGCCTGCTTCCTTAGTGCTGGCTTTGGGGTATTTTGACGAACTACGCAAGCATGTGTAGGGGGGCACGGGTTGGAGTGTGGCCATGGCTCAACTCTTATTGAAACCCCTCTATGTGTTTGATTTGGATATGGAACAGTGGTATTGGTGAAGGCATGACCGAGGAACAGATAAACCTTCCCAAAACAGCCATTATAGGCACCCGAGAAGAAGACGCGGCGGTCTATCCCACGTTGAACGCTTTATTCCAACGCTCATAAACAAAACAAAAGACTATTACACACATGTAACAAGTTTAATAAAATCTCGATGTACATTCACAACAACGTGTCTCATCGCTTCCAGCGCCTTCATGACTCTGTCTAATCGTGTCATCACTTTGTCTATAGTGTTATAGGCCGGTTTCCTCCTTCCGATCATGACCGGACGTTGTCCAACGGGACAATTGGGTATTCTGTTTCGAAACCGGCCAATCGATGCCCTCGTTCATGAGGTTGTCCAAGTTGACGGGGCTGTGAGCCATTTCCACCATCATACCAATCTGCAAAAAATAACAAAAACAGACCTAAGCGTATTTTTCAGCCATTAACAAAAAACATGTCATAACCACTCTCACTCACCGATAACTTGTGGTCAAATATTCGGTGGCAGTGATGCCAGTGGGTTGCTCTGGGCGTATGTAGGCGAAACATCACTTGGTTACACCACTGATCCTGTCCGAGGTGTTGTGGCAGGCCTGTAACATCGCACTTGGGCAACCCTTTAAATTCCCTCAGCAACTTCTTCGCTGTCTGTAAGAGATTATTGTATATGTTCAACGAGCACCATCATGATTATAATTTTCAGGTTAGATTAGGTGGTTAGAAACTGATTTACATAGGCATGTTGCATCATCACAAAATAGGCATCACAAATGCTTCGTATAGCTTAAATCTCTGAGAATTTGTCGGCTATCGCTTTATACTACTCAGTAATCACCTGCAGAAATTCTCGAAATTTAGAGGCGCAACTAGTGTGTACTGGCTTAGACAGTTTCGTCGGGGCTTGCAGCTCCACCAAATAATAATATTTAGCTGGTTTACGTGATACAAGTGGGTTGTGTTGCATTGTTTCTTGTTGGCTGGCGGAATACTTGAAACATTCCGTTCAGTTGTTGAAGAAGGTTATTCCAAAAGAACCAATTATTCCCATTTCGAAACATTGAATGTGTATTAAACAGTCAGTGCTGATGTAATGAGATCTGAACGATACCCTAAAAACCTTAGGTTTTAAAATGCTTTGAAAATGTGATAACTAAAACCTTTATGTCCAGAAATCTCGCACGTCAAATTTCGCGCGACTTACATTCAGACTGTTTCGCAATGGTTTTAACCGCTGGTTTTTACTCTGATTCCCGGGCTCATAATGTTCGGAAAGTTCGAGTGGTCAAATACATAGTTGTTTATGGTCAGATAAAAGCCATTGATCAAAACTATTGCCACAACCAAAGATGGCGACGAAAACTCAAAGAAATAAGCTTTCGAACAAGAGGTTTTTGAGACAATTTAGATGGTTTTTGGCCGAGATATTGTAGAGCGAAGGTCTTGGATTTAAGCCGTGTGGTAGAAGCGTATTTATAAATAGAATTAACTCCAAATTCTTTAAACGTAGGAAGGAAGAATATGCTTTTTCAGTGGACAAAGAAACTCACGATAGAAACATAAGACTTTGTACTTGAAGATTTAATCGCATCCTAAGAGAGTTCCCCAGCGGAATCATATATGGAAGACGCAAGGTAATTTTTTTGTATTTTTATTCTGGGAAGCTCGAGGTTTGAAGGTAGGAGTTTAAGTTTGTAAAAACAAAGATCTAAATAAGTCAACCTTTCAGTATCAATCGCGTCCTAGTGTTCAGGTATATCGCACGACATGCTGTATCGCAAATTATTTTACTTATCCCACATTTCTTGGTAAAATTTTCATTGTTTTCTATTGGAATTTTTTCTAAGTGTTCACTGCTACCGCGCGTGCTTGAAATTAAATTCTGGCCA